CCCAATCATTTGATCTCGACTCAGGTCAGATCATTTTCAGACCCATAACATCAGTCCGGTCTTTTGTTTTTAACCTTGACTCGATCCTAGTCATTTTATTTTGACTTGCAGCATCATCCTAGTCATTTGATCTCGACTTAGGTCAAATCATCTTCAGACTCACGACATCAGTCCAGTCATTTATTTACGACCTCGACTCGATCTTGGTCACTTTTCGACTTGCGATATCGTCCCAGTTATTTGATCTCGATTCAGGTCAAATCATTTTCAGACTCGCGACATCAGTCCACTCATTTGTTTACGACCTCAACTCGATCTTGGTCACCTTTCAACTTGCGACATTGTACTAGTCATTTGATCTCGACTCAGGTCAAATCATCTTCAAACTCGCGACATCAGTCCAATCATTTGATCTTGGCTCTGGTTAGATCGTCTTCAGACTCGCGGCATCGTCCCAGTTATTTGATCTTGGCTCCAGTCAAATCATTTTTTGACTCATTGCATTATCCCAATCATTTAACCTCAACTCAGGCCAGATCATTTTACTTTCGATCCGATGTGCATCTCAAGTCAGTTTTACTCACTGATTTGAATTGAATAGAGTGGGTGTCTGAGTCTTTGCATCATTTTTGTCTAACAAAGATATGCAAAAAGAGGTAGCTATAAACATCAATTTATGTTCGAGTCCTATTAGGCCCATTGATGTCCAAGCCCGATTAAGCCTGTTGACATCCAAGCTCAATTAGGCCCATCGATGTCTAGACCTAATTAGGCCCATTGATGTCCGAGCTCGATTAGGCCCATTGTTTCTAGGTCAAATTAGGCACTTCCATGCTCAAGTCCATTGGAATAGTTTTTATAAATTATTATTATCATTATCATTATTATTATTATTATTACTATTATTATTATTATTATTATTATCACTTTTCTTTTTTTTCTTTTTCTATGTTTCTTTTATAATAATAATAATAATAATAATAATTATTATTATTATTATTATTATTATTGTTGCTGTTATTGTTATTATTATTATCACTTTTTTTATTTTTCTTTTTCTGTGTTTCTTTTCTTATTATTATTATTATTATTATTATTATTATATTTCTATTTTCATTTTTTCTTCTTTTCTTTTTCTTCTTTGTTCTTCCTTTCCTTTTTTGCTTAAATCTGCACGGGGGCGAGAAAATAGGGTCAAACACAGCATCATATGAACAACGAAAATTTTGGAACCAAAAATCACGCTGGATAAAATGCAATCCCAGGGTTCAAGCCTGGGATTGATTCTATCGATTTCCTAAAATTGTTCTTAAGTCTACCTATAAATTGGACCAATTCTACAGAACAAGGATACGAAAAACACATAAAAATATAAAGAAAAATAAAGAAGGAAATTATTAGGAGAATTTTGGCAATAAGGATTTCTAGTATTTGAAAATTGAAATTTTGGATTTGATTCGAAGTTTTTGTGGGATTTTAGGTTTCTGGAGGTAAATTTAAAGTTGTAGGAGGCTCAAAGAAGGTTTACAACGGTTTAGGAATTTTTATGGATTTTTTGGAATTTTTTTGGAATTTTTCTAGGTTTTTTTGTGTTTTTGGGAAAAACATGAAGTTTTCAATTAATTTTTCGGTGGCTGTTTGAAGTTTCCGACGAGATTCCAGTGAGATTCTGATAAGATTTCTAAAATCTAGCCAAATTCTCAAAAACCGACAGGCCACCAATTTTTCTGTTGAATTTTTTTATAACTTTTTCAGAACCAGTGGGATTCCGGTCCCTGGTTGAAGTTTTTCGTGGGCATTTCTAGAGAGAAGGCAGAGGAAATAGAGGGTAGAGAGAGAAGAGCTCGATGGGTTCTGAGGAAAAATGCTTCAAGTTAGCTTTTATATCGCTACTAAACGACGTCATTTTGAATAAGGTAGGATCCGCGTTATGACCTGACCCGATTATAGGTTTTCTTTTTTTTCATTTTATTTTTATTTTTTATTTCTATTTTATTTTATTTTTTAATCTATTTTTTAATTATTTTTTGGTTTTATTCTTAAAAAAAAAAAAATCTTATTTCTGCCACTTTTATTTCCAAAGGAGCGAAAATAAAAAAGAAGAGGTAAAAAAAATGAATGAAAATGAAGTAAAAAAATAATTTTAAAAGAAAATGAAAATTGACAAAAAATTCTTTTCAATAAAAAATAAAGAAATATATTTTCAAATAAACATAATAATTTTGATCCTTTAAACTATTAGAAGATTGCTTTGAAGTGAGCTTTACCAAACTATTTGGAGGCTTTTACTAATTTTTTTAGAATAAAAATTAATAAATTTGATGACGGAACCTCTTCAAAGTAGGATGCTAATATCTATGAATACTCTTGAGGTTAGAGAATTACCCTAGATTGTTACCAAACTATTGAGACAATTTTTATAGTTAATTTTTAATATTAAATTATTTGATAAAACCATAAAAATGATCAAAGCTTGGATAATTCAAAATCAAACTAGTGCCATCCTATGGATAGGTGTTTTGAGGGAGCTACAACCTTCCCCAAACTAATCGACTCTCGAACCTAATATCTACTTTTGCATATCAGAATATACTTTAGGTAGCCAATCACACAAAAAAAAAATTAATAATTACTCTTTCAATCATGTATAGTGATAGATCCACGAATATATACGTTATGACAATAACCTCAGATAAAAATTTTAACCTGCATAATCGAATCTAACAAAACTTGATAAATTTAAGGCAACTCGATAAAATTGAAGCCCAACTTAGAAAATTCAGATAAAATTCAATATCTATAAATAAAATTAAAAGTATAATAACAAAATTAAATAAAAGTAAAGTATAATAACAAAATTTAATATTGATCTATAAAATAATGACAAAATTCACCTTTATCCTGATTATTATCAAAGTATTAAACCATTGGAAGAGCAAATCGATTGAATCAAAATTGCAAAGCACATCAAGGTTGAGGATCGAGTGGAGCAACTCTTGTATATGAAAAAGCGAACCCTTAAACATTTACAGATTTACTTCCCTATGGAATTATTAGGAAATGATCGTAATTTTCAATCCTTTGAGAGAAACTCCTGTATTGTTCTTCAACAAGGAACTTTCAATTGTTTAATTTTTGCATTTAATTAAACTTCGCAAAGAAACATACGTATTTGAATTGTGACAGACTTCGTCCAGAAAATAATTTTCAGTTTGACAGCTGGCTATCGATTTCAACTTCAATTAATTGTTCACATTAATTAGCTTTAGCTTCTGCAAAGCATTAGCCGCCGATGGTCCATTGCAAGCATTAACTTCCGAATAAATTATTAATAATGTTTGCAAAATTAAGGGAAGCTGACCAACACGGGAGGGGAGTAATTGACACACTAACTACTGTTATTCTAAAATGAGTCAAGTAACTCTCCCCCAACCCCACCCCACCCCAACCCAATTAAAGTATTTGATTTTACGTGACGTCGAAAAATACGGATATCTCAATTTAAAATTTAATTTAATTAATTTATATAATTATTTTTATGATATCATCTAATAAATTTAAATTTTAAATTATAATATATTCAATTCCTTCTTTTATTCTTATATTGCAATTTTTTTTTTTTATAAAACACATATCTAGATAAGATCCTTTTTACTTAAGCAAGTGAAACAAAGTCCTATTATCGTAACTACATAATTATGTCAATGGTTTTATGATTTATTAATAAAATATTAAAATTTTAATTTTAATTATTAAAATTTAATAATTTCAAATAAAAAATTACACAAATATATAATTTGTAATACTACTAATTAGCTACTGTTTGCTTTAGGCTTTTAGACATACATAGCATTTATAATAAAGGGTATATATCTTGGTTAAAAGTGGTTTAATTGGATGTTTACTATTAAAGTATAATGTTTATTTTTCTTTGTATTAATTTTTTAAATCTACTTTCTTTAATTTCAAAGTTTTTTTTATTAATGCACATGAAGTCATTTAACATTTATAATAAAATTTTATTCAAAAATAGTAGAAAAAAAAATTCTTTCCTAAATTATACTTTGGATAATTTAATTTGAAAAGCCAACTAAAGATTCCACACTATAGCGGAAAGTAGACTTTTGGAAGAATACGATAGTCAGATAGCCGCCAAGTGTGTATTTGCCCATTTAAGCCAACTGAGGTTTGCTTTTTAAGCGTGTTGGAATTTGAGCCTCTTCAGGTACATAAGGGAGTTAATTCGAAAGGTCTAGGCCATTTTATGGATTTATATTGCCCATAAATATTCAAGTAGTAATTCAACTAATTTATGCATATATATTTTTATGTGATATTTAATTAATTTAAATTTTAAAATTTTTATTTTTGTATATATTTTTTATAAAAATATTTACTGTCAGTATATGCATAAATATTTTAATTTTTGAAAATAAAAAAAATTAATTAATAAATTATAAATCAAAATTTGGAAAGAATAAAACCTTTTTTTTAATTAAAATTGAGCTACTTTATAAAATCATATGGATATTTTTGCCAAATGTCTTGTGATATGATAATAGAGTATTAGGTTTATAGTTTTAGCGATAAAAATTTAAATCTTAACAATTTTGATAATTAAAAATTTTAAAAAAATACAAGATGCTATGCTATTAAGAGAGATTTAAAACCAAAGCAACCGACGTTAATGTAAGGAATGCAAAAATTGCAATGTTACATATCCTATTTTTAACAAGTTGGTAAAATTTGAAGGAAACCCAAGTTGAAAAATATAGATTATTATTAAGGGAAGAAAAAAAGGGGCGCAACTTATGGATGTAAAATTGCATAGGCCTGAAATGAACATGTATACTTTTTTATTTTAATCATAATGTTTAGAAACTAAGGTTGCATTATCTTGACAATAACGTAATCATGATAGCAATGCTACCAAATAAGAACCCTTTGACAAGTATGGCAGCAGCCTATATTTTTGTTTTTGCGAGCCCAAGTGAAATTTTTTAATTATATATGACGTTTCCATCTATCGTGGCCGAGTGTATAAATTGTCCTGATTCTCCGCCATATCCATCAATGATCATTGATAAAGATCCGCAACAGCTTCTCTCAATCTCATCTCATCCCATCAATTAACTTTTTTGAGGATTCAGCATGGATTCCTCAGTTAATGTCCCAAGATGGACGCCAAGCCCAGCAAGATCACCTCAAAAAGAGCCTGAACGAGCTGATGATGGCTTGGAGGTTCAAAGCATAGTTTCTGAAGAAGATGCTTACTACGGGTCCTCTAACAATATGGAAACAAATTTCCCATTTAGCATTGGCTTTGCAAGGAGCAATAATCCACCTCCTTATTCAGGTATTCATGAAGTACCCTCTATCAGGATTGAGATGGAACCAGCAGCTGGTTGCATAGTTGATTTTACACCAAAAGCAGATGGCATTTTCTTGACATGGACTGATCTTTGGGTGACTGTTTCTGGTGGGAAAAAGGGAACCAGGGAGATCTTACAGGGGCTTACAGGGTGTGCTGAAGCCTGCAAGGTTCTAGCCATCTTGGGACCTTCAGGTAGTGGCAAGTCCACCCTCCTTGATACATTGGCAGGTAATATCTTTACATATTTGCCTGTTTTTTTAATTTCCATTTTCCAAAAGCAGTTTCTTTGATTGAAATGTTCATCACTGCGACTAGTTCTTCACAACTTCTGAATGAAGACACAAGATATCGTCAGGGTTTTGACTTTTTGAGATAAAACTATAGGAGTTTATATTCCTAAGATATTGGATGTCAGATGTGGCATGCAAGTAGAGATTCCACTTATTTCAGTTCAAGCTTTTTTTAATTCAAGTTTGAAATAATTGCACTAAAATTCGGATTTTTACTTTATGAGATAAAAAAAAAGATAGAAATGTTCCTGAATCAACAAAAAAAAAGTACTTTTTCTCCTAACGATTGGCATATCAGCATCCAAATTGCAATTTCTGGATTATTCTATTTCTTTTCCATTTTTAGATGAAGTTAACCTTTGTGCATAGCTAATAGCCAATGTGAATTATTGCTGGGTCTTGGGCATTGCTCTAGTCAATTATAGGAACAACGAAGACTTGTGATTGACGAAATGGCCTCACATTTAACACTGACCTCACCAAGTTTTAAATTATTCTACTAATTACTGACATCGTGTTTAATTTTTTAATTAATCATAAATCCATTGTTTACAAATAATATGATGCTACGTTTATCGTAAGAAATTTTTAAATAATTTCATTATACTTGGTCTAAAAACAGCATCTTTTTATTATAATTTATATAATAATTCTTTTGTTATGATTTTATATGTTAAAGTGTTGTTATTACACATATATTAAATATTAAATTTTTTGTGATTTTATATTCGAGTTTAGCCATTTTATCTATTTTCAATTGATTTTAGATTGAATATTCAATATGATATAAAGAGTTCAAGTCCTATTATGTTATTCCTGTCTCATATCTTTTCTGAGTTAATCAAATGAAAATTGTTTGTAGTTTAGAATGTGGTGCATTTCACACTGAATAGAAAGATTTAATTATTGATAAATAAAATTAATTTTTGTATTAATTTTATTTATATTTTAAATAATTATGTTTGAACACAAATAATTATGTTTGAATACAAATAATTATCATATGATAAATAATTATAACTATTTAAATATAAATATATTATTATTCATAAAGGTCATGATTATACAAAAGATTATAACCATTTGAATAAAAATTTATGTCTGTTCATTCATTATAAATAAATCTTTCAATATAATCATTTTCACTACTTTTAATTAAAGAGTTTGAGGTTTTATTGTATTATAAAAGCACAATTACCTTTAAAAAAGTGTTTTTCATGCCTCAAAGCCAAAATTCTTTTTTATAACTTCTTTTCTCTTATTTATTTTTTTCTAACAATTTAAAGACAATTATAAGAAATTTATATTTTGCATAAAAAAGATACAAGGAAAAGAAATTGGCATGATTTGGAGATCAATATTAGAGAAGGTTCAAAGTATCAAAGGATTAATATTTCTATGGGCCAAAATATTAATTTTCATAAAGATCTTCATTAAAGGTATGTATTTTATTTTTTGCATAACTATTGGTAAAAAGATTGACTGAATGAGATAATGTGTTAACAATTTATTTTATTAGCGTGTAAAGTCAAAATATAATATACAAAATATTAAATACATTGCATAAGTTTATGCATATACTGAAATTGGCTTAACATTGGGTTTAATGAATTATATTATATTTATTTGAAAAATCGATGCTTATAAAGACTAGGATGAGAATAGCTTGAAAACATAAAAGAGAAAGACATGAATTGATTTATGATCAAAAGAATTATCACTTGTTATCAAGTAATGAATTAAATTAGGTTATAATGGAATGACCGATTATTTAATTTTCATGTTTTGGTTATATATAGAACAGGCAAACTTTCCCATAGTTTCTATGAAAACAATAAAAAATGGGTAAAGGAATTTACCATGAGAAATTAGACGCAAGTAGAGAATATATGCAAAACAATAAGATTTGGCTACAAGATTAATTTTATTATTAAATCATGGCACCAAATTTAAGATAATAAGTTAATTCAAGCTATTTGTATGATTCTATCTTTGTTGGTCATTTATAAATCAAATGTTGATATATATATTTTAAAACTTATTATCGGTTCAAATTTTGACTAGTGTTTAATTTTCATGAAAATCAATTAAAATTAAATTGTTATATGTGAATAATTATTATTAAGATATGGTGTTTTATGGATTAATTGGTGGATAATAAACCAAATAATAATTATTATCAGAAACATGGGCAGTGTGACATGTATTTGCCTACTAAGTGTATTACACTATAAGTGATTTTACAAAATAAAATTTTATTGTGAACAATCACAAAGTAAAAATTATAAAAAGTTATCAAAGAGTTAATCAATGGCTAAAAAAAACATTATTGCTTTTCATATATAGGATATTGATTAAATGAAAAGGCACGCCATTAAAAATATATATATATATATATATATATATATTAAAACATTTGTCAGTTATTAGCATTTTGAAGGATTCTCATCAATGTCTAATTAGGCATATTTATGAATTAGAAAAGAACATGCAAATTCAATGTTCCAAAGGCACCAATACATGCATGTGTTTAATTCCATTTTGTGATGGCATAGAGAACATTGGTACAATTTACCATATATTATGAAAATGAATTGAATAGAATGAAATTTTTTTTCTTATACATATAAGAAAGATATGGACTATGGAGATAGAATGCCATCATCCAATTAATACATTATTGGTTAAAAATAATGAAGGTATTTTTGCTTCTTATATCTAAAAAAATGACCTTTTTATGCTGTTAAAATGAAAAGTGAACAAGTTTATGAGATTTTCAATAGTTTTATGACAATGATAAAGATGTGGCTAGTTATATACCATATTAACATATGGGCTTAGATAATAATATTGGTTTGTGAAAGCCATAAACCTTAGAGTTAGTCAATCAATAATTTAACCAATTCAAATTTATCAAGAATTTTTGCATGAAATATGAGTAGAACTTATATTATAATTATTGTTTATACTATTTTATGAAAATGATTCTTTGGATTCATATTTCATGATTTGCATTGATATAGTAATCTAGATATGAATATATTGGTCACAAAATGATTGTGAAAGTATTTGAAATTGGAGTTAAATATACTATAGACTCTTATTGTATATAGGTATATTGGTCCTATGAGTAAAGTTTGAATTTATTATGTTTTGACCAATTAAAGATGGTAAATAACATAGATATATAGGCTACACAATGGTGGAGAAATAAAGTTCTCATAAAATTTGGAAATCAAGTTTAGAGGTTTTAATAATCATGAACTTGGAATTGGTCATTGGACAATTACTATATGCATTGAAAACTCATGATAACATTTGAGATAGTTGATTTTCACTAAAAATCATATTATAAATGAGATCATTTTAATAGTAAAATCTATATGATTTATAGATATAAGGTGGATTATTATGGTTGGTATAAAATAGCCATTTAAGGCATATTTACTTTGACAGTCATAAGTGATTCAAAAACCTTGTGAATTTGAAAACTTTTATAATAACAAAAGGAATGCTATTTGATCCATTTGGGTGATGAAAATAGTTTTGTTCATGGTAATAAAAAAATTATTAATAGTGTCCATGATGAAATAAATTCATATAAATATTTATGAATTGACATAAAAGTCTTAAAAGGAAATTATAAAAGCATGATTATATTTGAAATCTACTTATTAATATAAACTCTTATATTGAGTTAAAATATAAAAGTTTTGAAATTTTTATTGAAATCTTAAGATATCAACTAATTATTTTTCACTAAGGGGTGAATTTGAAGGCCTCCTTATTAAAAAAAAATCAAATAGTGAAAAGATAAATGAAATAACAACTTAGATTAAGTATATATGACATCTTAATAATTGAATGAGATATTCTTTAATAAAAGAATGTATTCTTGCATATGGTGGGGGTGATAAAAATCAAAAGAAATAAAAATTACCACTATAGTGTTGTAAGATTTAAGTACAATTTTATGAGCAAATTATACGAGCTAATAAGTTTAAACACTTATTAAAGTAAAGTCATAAAAATATCCTTAAAAATCTTAAAAGAACTAAAATTGTTTGGTTTATTCATTGAGTTTATCCAATTGTCTTAAAAATACAATTGTATTAAAAAATGTATAAAAATATGAAAATTAAATGGTTGAAATTAATAAATATAGAGTTATGGCTACAACCAAAATCAACTATTTTCTAAAATGATAAGAATGCAGCAACAATGTCTGAAATATATAAATGATATGCAAAATGAAAAGTTTAAACATACTAATCTGAAGTTATTATATTAGAGATTCAATCTCAAGTGGAGGTAATTACTATAAAAGGAAATTGAATTCCAAAATATTTGATTAGTAATACTACAAGTAGAATGAACTTAAACCCTTACTATTAGACACCGATAATAGGAACCTAACTTTGAATTAGTAACCTCAAATTACAAAGTTTAATAGGTAAAAACAAGTTATTATTATATGTCTGTTAAACAATAGTAAAATCCATTTAAATTTTGGAGACTAGTGTGATCCATTGCGTGGGGATAATGGGTTTTTATACTCTTGATAGGGTTTTAAATGTCTAAAGCAATGAAGACATAACAGAAACTCTATCTATATAAACATAAAAGTGGTGCGACTTCAACAAGAAGAATTGGGGTCTCTCTTGTAAATGTTTATAAATAGGATAAGCACATGATCATAATAGTGCTAAAAGCGGTTATAAACCTCTGACAGAAGAATAAATAAGTATTATATGTGTTATATTTTTAATTTTAACACTAAGAGTTAAGGTTTAATCTACGGACAACATCAACTTCGTTAGAATTCTAAGATATATACGCTAATTGAAGGTTTAAATCGAGAGATATCTTCTTGTATTAATAATATTTGTTTGTGTGAAAAGTAAAAATTAAACACCAACATTCTAAACTAGTGGGTGATTGTTGGTAGTTTAGAATGTAATGCATCCCACATTAGATAGAAAGATTTAATTATTGATGAATAAAATTAATTTTTGTATTAATTTTATTCATATTTTAAATATTTATGTTTGACTACAAATAATTATTATATGATAAATGATCATAACTATTTAAATATAAATAAATTATTATTTATAAAAGTTATGATTATATAAAAGGTTATAACCATCTAAATAAAAGTTTATGTCTGTTCATTTATATAAATAAATCTTTCAGTATAACTATTTTCATTACTTTTAATTGGAGAGTTTGAAATTTTGTTGTATCTTAAATGCATAATTACCTTTTAAAAAGTATTTTTTACACCTCTAAGTTAAAATTCTTTTTTATTATTTTTTTATTTATTTTTTTCTAACAAAAGTTACATCTATACCTGATGGGATCTGGTCTTATACCCTTCCATTTTTGTTAAGGGTGCTTTTTCGTGTATACACTTCATCAAAACTTATTAACGTAGTTTATCCCATATCAGTTAAATATTGAATTTCCTGTGGTGATGGTGGTTTGTTAATATAATTTATCTCACATCCGTTAAATATTAAATTTTTTTGTTAATTTTAAGTAGAAGGTTTATCTATTGAATTGCAGGAAGGCTAAGTTCGGGTACACAACAAACAGGGGAGATCCTAGTCAATGGTCGCAAGGAAACACTAGCTTTTGGAACTTCGGTAAAGAGAAAATTCCAATAATACAAACCCCGTCTTCTGAATTTTATTCTGCCTTCATTCCAAGTGCTTTCAATTTTGAAACAGAAAAAAATGTAGATAATCAAATCAACCAACAAGAAAGGATTTTAATTTGTGAACATTTTCAAAGCAAATGCCTTAGAAAACTACTGTCCACTGTTAGTCATGAACCGTGTTAGACAAGTTATATGTCTAGAAATTAAGCATAAAGTACAAAAAATGTAAGAAATTCGCATTTTACTTTTGATAATCTCTTACTAACCATTGGGTTTTTCTGATTGTTTCTGATTTAGGCTTATGTGACTCAAGATGATACTCTAATGACTACACTTACTGTATGGGAAGCTGTTTACTACTCAGCACAGCTTCAATTGCCTGATTCCATATCAAGATCAGAAAAGAAGGAAAGAGCTGAGATGACAATCAGAGAAATGGGGTTGCAAGATTCCATGGATATAAGAATTGGAGGGTGGAGCAGGAAAGGACTTAGTGGTGGACAAAAGAGGAGAGTTAGCATTTGTATGGAGATCCTAACACGGCCAAAGCTTCTCTTCCTTGATGAGCCCACCAGTGGACTAGACAGCGCAGCATCATACCATGTCATGAGCCGGATTGTTAAGCTAGCTCGCAAAGATGGAAGGACTGTAATTGCATCCATTCATCAGCCTAGCAGTGAAGTTTTTGAGCTCTTCCATAATCTCTGCCTTCTCTCCTCTGGAAAAACAGTCTATTTTGGTCCTGTTTCAATGGCAGAGAAGGTATATATAATTTCTGTCCAAGATGCATCTGCACTCAAATTGACACAATATTTACGAGCAACTGATGATTTTTTCCCAAATTAAAACTTTTTTTCTCTAGTTTTTTGCTACAAATGGCTTCCCATGTCCAGCTTTGAGGAACCCATCAGATCACTATCTTAGAACTATCAACAAAGACTTTGACGAAGTAAGTATCGTTTTCTGCTCTTTTTCTCTGAAAGGATTAACCATGCAGTTGATATAAAATTGCTTATTGATATTGATTAGGACATAGAACAAGGAAATGGTAGCATTAACACAGAGAAAATCATCGATACACTCCTCAAGTCATACAAGTCATCAGAGATATGCAAGCAAGTTGAGCAGCATGTACTCATGATATCCCAACAGGTATGCTTGTTCGAAACTTCAAGAGAGATTTTAACCGACTAAAACATCCCACTCCAGAAAGCCATTTGTTCTAACTTGTAAGATTTTTTTTTTTTGTTTGCAGAAAGGAGGACCTCTAGAGAAGAAGGGAAGCCAAGCAAGCTTCATTACCCAAAGCATTGTTCTTACAAAGAGATCTTTCGTTAATATGTATCGTGATTTAGGCTATTACTGGCTTCGCCTTGCGATTTACATTGCATTATGTTTCTGTGTTGGGACTATCTTCTATGATATTGGCTTCACTTTTGGCTCAATTCAGGCTAGAGGATCCATGCTCATGTTTGTTGCAGCATTCTTGACATTCATGGCAATAGGTGGATTCCCTTCTTTTGTTGAGGATATGAAGGTATTACTTTTGTTTTTCAGCATCTACACTGATTTGGACATGACATCTACTTAGTCCATTGGTGTTGACATTTTTGTTCCCTCTCTCTTCAAAATCAGATCTTTGAACGGGAAAGATTGAATGGACATTATGGGGTTGGAGCATTTGTCCTCGGAAACACCTTTTCATCCATTCCCTACTTGTTTATGATCTCTTTAATCCCTGGAGCACTAGCCTATTACCTGGTTAGACTTCAAAGGAGTTTTGATCACTTTGCGTACTTCGTGATATTGCTCTTCACCTGCATGATGCTGGTTGAGAGCTTAATGATGACTGTTGCAAGCATTGTGCCAGATTTTCTCATGGGAATCATTACGGGAGCCGGTATTCAGGGGGTGATGATGTTAAATGGAGGCTTCTTCCGGTTGCCAGATGACCTTCCGAAACCATTTTGGAGGTACCCCATGTACTACATTGCATTTCACAAGTACGCAAACCAAGGATTCTACAAGAACGAATTTGAAGGATTAACTTTCCCCAACAACCAAGCAGGAGGACCTCCCACCATTACTGGTGATGAAATATTGAGAAACTTTTGGCAAGTAGAGATGGGCTACTCTAAATGGATTGACATTGCCATCTTGTTTGGCATGGTGGTTATATATCGTCTCATGTTTTGGGGAATTATTAAGACTGTTGAAAAGGTTAAGCCTGTTATTAAAGCTTATATGGCGGTTCCTCCCAAGCAAGTAAGTCAGATATCAGAATAAGAAATGCTGTGAACTGTGATGTATTTTGTTTTTTAGTCTAGGTTTGCTAGTTACATTTGTAGTTGAATAGAACTTTACTCTCCTACTGTGAAATGGAAAATAAAAGCATATCGCATTATCAAATATAAACAAATAAAATATGACTGAGAGGAAATATAGCTATCAAAGCCAAAATAAAGCCACTCTCTCAACTACAAAATAAAATATTAGTGGACACGTCTACTGATTTTTTTAAAATTTAAATCCAAGGCTAAACTTTTACGTGATTCTAAACACATTTTTTTTCACAATTTTTTTAAAATCATTTTTAAATAAAGTTATTTTATTATTTTTTTTCTCTTCACATCCCTACTATTTTTTAGTTTTTGAATTTGTAAATTCAAAAATCTTTAAAAGTTTTTGGATTTGCAAATTTGAAAATTTTTAAAAGTTTCCAATTTTGTATATTTAAATTTACAAATTAAAAAAACTCAAAAGCTCTTAAAAGTTTTAAGATTTATATATTCAAAAACTTTTAAAATTTTTTAGATTTGTATATCAAAGGTCAAAATTTTATGTAAGATATTTTTTCTCAATTCTTTTTTTCAAAATCTAAATGTAATTTTTTTTTTAATTTAACATATATAAAAATTCAAACAATTATATAACTTACCAAAAATATATATCCAAAAACTTTATAATTAAAATGAAAAAAATGAATAAATAATTTCATCTAAAAATTTTGAAAAAAATAAACATAAAATGCTGAGGAAAAAATGGAAATGTATTTAGAACCTCTCATAAATTTTTTACGGAGTTTGATGCCACGAGTTGACATCAAATCAGATACTGAATTTACAAAAATGCTTTTCCATGTAATAACAAAAAGAATTAATAAAGATATATTAATCCTTTATTTTCTTAAAAATATAATTTACAACCACTTAACCACTTTTGATTAAATTGATATAAAGTTGTGTTTAGTTGGAGAGAATTCATAAATTTTTTTTTAAAATTTTATTGATAGGTATTTGATTTTAATATTTAATTTAGGATAATTCGATTCTAGAAAAAATGATAAATTCTTATAAGTATCTAAAATCTCATAATAAAAAACTCATATCTCTTTATGGTATTATAAGAATCCAAAAGAAAAAGTTATATTATTTCTAAATTTAAATTAAATAAAAAAATATAAAATAACTATTATCATTTTAAAAAATATGCCTAAAAGCAACTGTAAGTCAATTGTAAATTTCTACTGTTAAAATTTTTTTATATATTGTAATTAATGTCGTTTAGCATGAAAAATACTTTAAATAAATCATTATTCAAATAAATATTAAGTTAAAGAGACACTTTAAACGATAACCATTTAAGGTTTTTTAGAATCATTTAACGCATTTGAGTTTTAAAATATCTTAAATGATCTCCTAAAAAAAATGAACAAAATTATTTAAAGAGTTTTTAGTCACCTTAAATAATTGACCATGATTAAATAATTTTCTTTAAAAAATATAATAAAATTATTTAAAGCATTTTTATTGAAAAATGCCTTAAAAATATTTTCTTTTAAGTTTCAAATGAATGAGAAAAAAAAAAACCTTTTTTAAAGAGTTTTTGTTTAAAAACGTCTTAAAATTTTTTTTCAATCAAAAACCAAATGAATGAAAAAAAAAATTTTAAACGTTTTTGTTAAAAAACACCTTTAAAAGTATTCCTTTCAAGTTCCAAATATTTCAAAGCTAAAAAAATTTAAATGAACAAGGTGGTTGTGACTAGGATTACACCATGTTTTAAAATTGAAATATACATCAAAGAGATTATAATAATTATTCAAAAATTAAAATATAAAAAAATTTTTAACTAAAAAATAAATCTAAATATGAAATATCTTGAAAATAAAAAATTTCAAATATCATATGATTTCAAAGATTATATATTTTTTTAAATCTAAAATTTTATCAATCAAATTATCTATAATTGTTTTCATTGTTTTTCTATATTTTAAAACTGTACGTTCAGTTTTTTTATTTATTCTTTTTTATAAAATATATAGATTTTTTTCCTTTTAATACTTATTTAAATAAATAAAACTATTTATTTTTTAATCTGAGCGGTGGGCTTGCCAAAGAAAATATCCAACCCAGTAGAATTGAAGATGGTCAAACCCAAGAAATCTCAGCAACAACGACACCGTTTGGAGATTTTGGATAAACCTGGGACCACCATAGATCTTCCTTCATTGTACGGCTTTGATCGCATGAGCTAAATCCTTTCTCCAATAAAAGTCATTCACTGAAACAAGAAAGCAGAATTGGGAGAAATTTTCCAGAAGCATACGCGAACGGAGAGAGAGAGAGAGGAAAAAGGAAAACGCGAACAAAACAAAGGAAAAGAAAATGGAGGAAGAAGAGCATGAGGTGTACGGAGGAGAAATACCCGACGAAGGAGAGATGGAAGGCGACTTGGACCCTCACAACGCCGACGTCGACATGTCCGCCGCCGATGACGACGCCGTCAAGGTAAATTATAAAAAAAACCCTAACTGAAGAATTTCCTTTAATTATTGTTGTTGTTGTTTGATCGTGGTAGGAATTGGATGAGATGAAGAAACGGTTGAAGGAAATGGAAGATGAAGCAGCGGCTCTTCGTGAAATGCAGGCCAAGGTCGAGAAGGAAATGGGTGCTGTTCAAGGTCTTTTCTTTTCTCTTTTTAGTTTCTTATTGAATTTTTATGTGATTTGCATTTTATTTTAAAGGTGTGACGTTAGGGTTTAGGTTTTAGTTCTCCAGATTTTGTTATTTTTGTTGAATTTGGTTGATTTTACCCAAGCGGAAACTCCAATGTTGTTTCTTTAAATTGAAAATTAGAGTTTTATTTCAATTTTTTCTACTGAATTAATGTATTAGTTTTTTATAGATTTTAGTGGAGATTTCTAACCGAGAGTTTTAATATGGATATTTGTTAATTGTATCTACATTTGAAGGTTCTGATCTATGTTTAACTTTTAGAGCCAATTTTTCTAATCTCAACCTAAGTTTAACATTTATGAAAAGTAAAAAAGAAAATCCCTTTTTTCAAGTTTTAATTGAAATATTGCACACAGATCCTTCTAGCATAGCAGCTAATCAGGCAAGCAAAGAGGAAGCAGATTCACGATCAGTTTTTGTTGGCAATGTAAGAACGAGAATATCTTTTTTTTTCCCTTAAAATTTGTAACATGTTGTCCTTTTAAAATAGCATCTTTATGCCGATACTGTTCTTCCATATTAACATCTTTGATATTTCTTAAAAAAAGTTGAGTGTTACTATCTTATTATCTTTTTGGTTATCTTACTCGTTTAAATATAGGGATTAATTTTTAACATATATGTATTTGCTGATATGTTTTCCTTATCCTTATTATGTTTTCCCAACCTACTGTTGACATTGAGTATGTGTGTCCTGAAATGAATCATTGCTTTCTTTTGTTGCGTATAAGTTTCTCCTCCAAATTGAGACATAGATCCATGCATTCTTATCTGAATTGCATCACCGTGTTCTTTTGTTGGGTATATGCTTGCATTGAATACTGACATATAAAAAACTTGAGACATCATTCAATACATGGTTATTCTGCTTGAGATTTTCAGGATCTGTTATCATTCATATGAATTATACCAATTGGAATGATTTGTGTTTTAGAATTATTTCCTTCTGATTGTGGAAGAAATTCCAAGGGCTTAGGGAAGATGCTGGGACAGCTAAAACTCCCAGATTCTAAGATTTATTTTTGTGAAAAACCCAAAGGAGAAAAGTAGAACAAAAATCCATATAAAGATCCATGCATGACCTGATGCACTAACATTTTCTTTGAAAAGTGTTCTCTTTAGCTGTGAAAACAAAATATGGGTAATGGATACACCACTGTACTCGTCCTACATGAGCTGTTGCAATTAGGAAGCATTTGTCCCACATAATTGGGCATGCCACCTCACAGTTATCATCAGTTGAGGGGACTTCTCCTCTCCTCTATTAATAGTCTTCACCCTTCTCTTAAAAATCTTGAATTATCCCTTTTTTAATTTAACCACTGGTTTTTCCTAAATTTTTAACCTTTTAACTGTGGTGTCCTTTTTGTTTCCCTTTTGAGTTATCCATAGGATGAAGTAGCTGTCTGTTTCAAATTCTTGAAGTACTAATACCCTTTTTCCGGTAACCAAATATGTATAAATATGAGCTATCTTTTATTCAAGACCTTTTGTCTCCTATTTTTCTCCTATAGTAACAGTTAATAATGACTTATTCATTTAATTTCTCTCTGCCTTTACTTTTTCTAGGGCTTGCTTTTTCTGGGGCTTAACTAAATGGCTTAAAATTAATTGTCTATTAATTTCTTGTTGACTTTGGATTGGATGTGGGTACATCTCCGCTATAGAATCATGGTTTGACCTATATGTCTTACTATGATCGCAGGGTTGTTAATTTTCCTCGAGTTGCCTGTGTGTATCGCTGGAATATTTACAATGTTTTTGAGGGTGGGCCAAAAGCTATTTTGGTTTTAGATAGCCTTGTACTTAAAGAAAGTGAACATGATTTGTATATGCTAAATTTCAAAAAGGAAATAAGAGAAAAAAAAGTGAGAAAAATGAGGAGAAAAATTCAATTATTTTCATGGAGAAAAAGAACAAAAAGAAAAGTAATGGAAGAACACGTTGAACGAGAAAAAATGCAGAGAAAAAAAATGTAAAATTTTTCAAAGAAAAAAAATATCAATGAGGGAAATTTTTGTTAGTTTATATGAAAAAAGAATTATTTAGGAAAAGTAGGGGGTGAAAGCGTTAGATATGTGTACCTGAAAGGTGTAACTGGGCTTGTTTGGACTGGATGGATGAAAGAGCATGTGACCTAACATGCTTCAACTTCTACTTGCAAGGGATTTAATTTACTTATTTTGAAGAGCAAAGACAAGTCAACTTTTGCTATCTAACTTGCAAGAACCAAGAACCTCGTTGCTGTTGGCAGAGGTGGTGGTCATGGGAGTTTGGAGCCTCACAAATTTGTGGTCATTTTGGCTGATGCGGTGAGAGGCATTTGTTCGCTTCTTTGTAGCCTTAACTCTTGTTTGCCTGTTATTTTTGGAAATAAATTTTTTGTGATTTCTTGTAATAATTAGCTCCATTAGTTGTTGCTTTGATTTTTTTTTCTTTTTAATCTTTTTTTATACTTTTAATAAAATATATTTTTCCTTTCTTTTAAGAAGTGTCTGCATGTATTCTCTTTTTTTATTTTCATTGATAATTGACTCTTACAATGCTTTTCTTCTGCTGGTGGGATCCTAGACATTCCATAATGTATATAACGGTTGAAGGAAACTCTTTTCAAGTTATTTACTTTTTGATAAATATGTTTGGTTTTCATTAATCTGCAGATTCTTTCCCTTAATGTTCTCTTTCTTGTATTTTGGTGGTTATCCCCATGTAAGGTTGTGATCAAACTCTGCTTTTCCTCAGTACCATGTTTCCAAAGACCTATTTTATTTTATTTACCCTTTTATTTTGAAGTTCGCTACTGTCTTCATGTTTTTACTGCTTTAAGGTCATTGACAATATGATAGAAAAGCTATGTGATATAAATAATGCATGGGTTAGATATTGAACAATTGGCATTTGTGGTAGGTGATGTGTATTATATACACAATTATATTCATCATGATAGCAAGTTGGAAATATGTTGAGTTGCTCTCCAGATATTTCACATGGAAAATTTGTCAAACTGTGGTTTGAAAAGTGGCTGTTTTGGGCTTGGTTTGTGGAGTTCATTAGACATCTTAAATGAGTTTGAGTAAATAGGAGTGGAATGGTGGCATTACCTATACCGCACATAAAATGTGTCAATGTACTGCTAATTGAACATGATACCATGCTTTTACTAAATTTGACACTTCCTAGACCCCAAAGAAAATGTGTCAACAATGTTGTTTTTAATGTGTTCTCATCCTGTGTAGCTGCACAAGGGATAAGGTGAAAACATCATGAAAACCAAAGCATGAATGGTCTAGCTTTCCTTTGTTACTGTCTGACTCGCATTTCTCTTTGAAAACCTTTGGTCGAATTTTGTCCTGCAGGTTGATTATGCATGCACACCTGAAGAAGTGCAGCAGCATTTTCAATCTTGTGGCACTGTAAACAGAGTGACTATCCTTACTGACAAGTTTGGCCAACCAAAAGGCTTTGCTTATGTGGAGTTCCTGGAAGCAGAAGCTGTTCAAGAGGCACTTGTGCTGAATGAATCTGAATTACATGGCCGCCAATTGAAGGTAACGTGTTTTCTTTAATAAATATTAAGAAACTTGAGTCTTTTGTTAGTAAAAAATAAGTCTGGAGATCCTGATAATGAAGGCTTTTTAGTTGTATCGGTAACATATTTCTGCCAAATTTTGGGTATTCCTTGTGATATTCAGGTTTTGCCTAAAAGGACTAATGTTCCTGGGATGAAGCAGTACCGTCCAAGGCGTTTCAATCCTTATATGGGCCAGCGGTTCAGGAGACCCTATGTACCACCTTATTTCTACTCTCCTTATGGATACGGGTATGTATGTTTCTTCTGGTGCATGGACTGACTCTCTTCCTCGTTTCACACATTGCATTCTTTCATTTTTCTTACTATGTTCACCCCCTTCCCCTCTTCACAAACTCAATTGCAGGAAGGTTCCTAGATTCAGGAGGCCTATGCGATACATGCCTTACTACTAGAAGACGATTGAGCTTGTGATAACATATTTAATAAGTTTGAATGGTTTCATCCAGGAAGTATAATGTCAATGCATTATGCCAGTCTGTTCAGAGGTTATAAACAGACAATTTCTATTTGCCATATGCAATTTGTATCATCTACTATCAACTGAATGACATTGCTAAAAGTATCAAACTTTCTAGCTTAATAATTTGGACAATTTATGATTATAGTACCGTGCACTTTTCGAATATGAAACTTAAATCTGCAATCATCTTTAAAAGTTGATATTTATTTGAAGTTTAAGTTTAGGTTTTTGTAATTTTTTTAATCTTTAGCATATGACTTTTTTTTAAAAAAAAATGCTTTTTGTATAAAAAAAACCCTTAATTACTTGAAATTGATTTTTACTTTTACTTTTTTTTATTTTTATTAAGACAACAAAAAAAATTAGTCAAAAAAGTTATTTGAGACTCAGGTTAATATCCATGAAGAATTATATAGAAAACTAAAGGTAAGAGATAAGGAAACAAAGTGTTCAAAATTATTAAGAGATAAAAAGAGTAGAGATTTTAATAATTTGAGATGAATCATAAAGGGTGACAAAAGAATAGTGTTTAAAAAACATGATTCGATTGATCTTTTTTATGAAAAGATCGTTCTTATCAATAGTTAGGTGGTTATTTTTTGTTTTGTACTTTACTTATTAATTTGATTATATCTTGAATTATATAAATTCAAATCATAAATTGTTTGAAGATTTAAAAATTAAATTTAAAGGGTTTTTTATCTATATAAAATTCATCATCTAATTCATTGAGTATGAATTATAGTGAATTTTTAAAGTTACTTATTATGCAATTTTTTTGACAACTGCAAAGTATCTAGTAAAAATTTAAAATTTTTTTTAAAAAAATTGAATTTTGATTTTGTTTAATCCATTAGAAAGTAGACTCAAAGAGCTTTCCAACCATATAAAATTCAAATATTAAAATTTTGTGAATTAATACAAAAAAATAAAATAATTTCAATATTGAAAAATTTTGTTCTTATAAAACAACTTTCTTAAGTTAATCTTTTTCTCAAAATCAATATTATCAAAATTGTATTAAATCCAAAATAAATAAATTCACTTTAAAAATAACAATTGGACTTTCATTTAAGCTCAAATAAATAATCTTTAAAGATAAATTTGATTTGATAAATATGAAATCAAGAAAGGTTTGTTTAAACTTTGAAAATCATATTATTTATTTAGTACTAAAATATAAAACTTACAAACATGTATTAAATAAATTTTTTTCAAAATTTTGATCAAGTTTATTTATCTTTAATATTTTATCATTTCAAAATAAAGATAAATTCAAGGCTAATAGTGAATTTCCTCTATTATGGAGTATTGTGACATAAACCTAAATTAATTTTAAAAAACAATGATCTTATGTTACACCCTACATTCAATTTTTATTTCTCAAAATTTTATAGTGACTTATAAGTATTATTCTCAATAGTTTGAACAATTTTGTATATAACTATTATTATTGTATAAAAACACTAAAATACTTATCCTCCATTCTTTTAACATCTTCTAAGTATGCCAAATTTTGTTAAAAAAGTCATTAACATTCTATCTCTGTTTTACCTAATTGCTTCTAAACTTCAATCTAGATTTCATTAAGTCTTATAGCTTTATTTGCTTTCATTATTCTCAAATTAAATCAATCGGGTCTGGGCGGAATCACACAAACCATAATTTTTTTCATGCATTCAATGGCTACTTTCATTTCTCAAGCTTCCTCAACGACTACTTCTTCAATTTCTCTATAAATTGGGCACTCCAACACACCAAGAGAATTTATGAATCAAGAGAGCAAGAGCCAATAAGCCATATTTTCATTCTTTAAATAATCAAGAGTTTTTAGAGCTTCAAAGTCTATATGTTTGTATTTATTGTATCCAAATTATTTTTGTTGTTCATTCATCATTTTCTTGTACTTAAACTTAGCAAACATTTAACCTTAGAAATGTTGTTCTATTGTTTGCAAAATTACCTTTGATATATAAGGGTGAAAGAGAACAAGATGTGATGTATCATCTTGAGAGCTTTGTAGTGAGATTGGGTATAATACTACAAAAGGTAGAGGTTTTTATCTTAAGCCTTAGAAAGAAAAAGATAGGTTATAATTTTCAATTCAAGAATAGTGGATTGAAGTCTTAGTGTGGACAACCAAGAAGAAAGGACATAGGTGCCTTGTGGAAAAGTACTAAACCTATATAAATAATTGTATTTGATTTCTTTATCCTTATCTCCTTCTAATTTATTGTTGTTTATATTTAATTTTAGGTTCATTAATTATTATTGTGTGCATTATATTTTCATCAAAAGTGCTTATTGTTTTAATTTTTATTTCAACTATATTAAAATTTTTGTTTGGGAAGAATTTAGAAAAATCTAATTCACCCCTCTCTTGGATCACTATTTCACTTAAAAAGCTAACATTCAGCTACTGAAACTTTTGTTAAAGGGTTTTTAAGCAAGAAAGAAATATTTTATATATGATATTTATTGATTTAGAAAAACATACAATAAAGCTCCTCAAGAGGTGCATTGGTGGGCCTTAATCAAAAAATAAGTTCCTCTAAAATATATCGACATGGTTGAAAATATATATAAAAGAGTTGTAACAAATGTAAGAATGTTTAGGGGCTTGATTGATAGCTTTTTCATTACTTTAGGATTGCATCAATGTTTAGCACTAAGTTTATTTATTTATTTATTTATTCTTGCATTAGTTATGGATGAACTCACTGGACATATTCAAAATAGAGTCTTATAGGGTATGTTATTTGTCGATAATATAATTTTAGTTGTTGAAACTAACGATGATCTTAATGTGAAATTAGATTTATGAACGCATGTATTGGAGTTTCAAGCTTTAAATTGAGTAAATCTAAAATGATAAGAAAAATGTGATTGGATTGATAGTATTTGGATAGCTCTATTTATAGGTGAAAGGTGAGGGATTTGTAAGATAAAATGATGACATAGCTGAGTTGATGTATTATCGTATATATCAGCTCAAAAATAAAAAATATCTTTGGTTGTCTGTTGACAATCTGTAATGGTAGAGATGACCAATATGTTTTTTAGACCTAAAAATACCTTTAATAAGTCTAAATTGAGGAAAAAATGAGAGAGTTCGTTTGAGAGGGTTTAGACATATAAATCGTAAGCTTATCTATGCACCAATTAAAATAAATGAACTTTTGAATTTAAGAACTACCAAAACTTCTAGAGATAGATGATAGAAGATATTGATGCAAAGAATAAAAAATTATATGAGAGTTAAAAAAAATTGATGAAAATGTTGTTTTAATATAAAAATTATACAAAAGACATGATTCATTTTTTTAATTTTTTATAAGGTTGATCTAGAGTTTTTGGATATAAGATTTAACATAATTTTATTTTTGGTTTTTTATATAATTAACTTTAAAGTTGTGAAATATAAGACATAATTTATTGTTATTGTTTTATTAAGACGTACATAAAAAATAAAATATGTAAAGTTTACACATGGCCATAGCCCTTCTTGGCGCAGTTTAACCTCATTTAAACTTTGCCACGCTAACATGCACGTTTAGGCCCACCTGCGCCAAACTGTTGAATTCATGGCCGTCTTTCTTCTCTATCACGAAAAAAAGAAAAAAAAAAAAAACCTCTAACAATGTCTTCCCTTTCAATTCAAATCCACCTCAAACCCTAACAGAAGCAAGGACCAACACATTTTTTAACTTCGGAAACGACAATGTCAATCCCGTTACAAAGCCTCTTCACCCCTTCACCTCCTCGCTTAACCCTTATATCAAAAACCTAATTCATTTCCTCCGATACTATCTCAGCTTCCGCCTCTCGAATTCCTTAGTTTTGCATTTCCAGACCTGAAATTTTCTCAATTTCAAAATCCCGCCCTCTTTTTCCCATTCCTTTCTCTAAGCCTACGAAACAGATTCTTCAGTTGCCACCTCACTAGAACAAAACCCTAATTTTAATGTTTTCAATTTAGATTCTCTTCTCTCAATCGCTGAATTTTTGTGAATTTTTTCTTCGGCAGTTGTTTCGGTCGTTTATGCTGTTTTCAGATGGAAATGCGGAGTTGTCGGAATGGTGGGTGCGGTTGCGATCGGCGAGTGGATTAGGAGGCGGCAGTGGCGGATGCATTTTGGTTTTGAGCTAAATGTCCGCTTTATTGACAAAATTTCTGAATTAGTCAAGTGGGAGAGAATGTATCTTAGTAGCTTCTTTACTAGAACTTACCAATCATTAGTATCTCAGATTTTCTTTGAGACACAGAAAAATGGCAACTCATCCAGAAAAGTTGAATTGAATGTTCAATAAACTATGAATTGCCAAGCCGATCTCAGAAGCAATATAATAACCATTTTAATTTAATTAAGCTGCTGTTTAGTAATTTCTCTCAATAGCTTGCTTACTAGCCCATAAATTTAGGCATAAGTTGTGGTGACTGTTAAAGAAAGAAAGATGCAGTTATGAAAACAGGCAGTGAAGTAACTTTTCAATGTTGGAATATCCCTAGAGTGGTCCAGTTATATGGAAAGTGGCATATCCCATAATAACTTATATAAGAAGTAGTGCTCCGATTCTATAAGCTTGCAATTAAACAAAGTCAAGGTGATTATTATTGTTAGAATAAAAAAAATGCATTTTCAAGGCAACTGAAGATATAAAAGGAAATGCCTACTTCAGTTGCACGAGGTCAATTGGTTAGAGTACTAATTTAGGACCAAGTTGTTTCATGAAACATGCTTCTCTGACTTCTATAATCAAGTTCATTCATTCGCAATAGCTTTACAGTTGTAGACTGAAGACTTAGAAGAAAATTTTTTTTATTTGAAATTTTTTGATGTTTAGGAATTATTTTGAATTCTAATTAATTTGAAATCAAATTGAGTTAGATTTCATAAAAAAAAATAAACTTTTTCGAATTTTTTTTTTTTTTTTAAAATCGAAACTTTATTTTAAAAAAACTGAATTTCTCGTTACTCAAATCAACGTTGATTTCAAAAAAGTTTGTTATTCAATAAGGGGGTGTCTTTGTGTGTGTCCAAAAGCCTTTTCGTATTGTTGAGTGCAAGTGTGCATCCATGTTAGAAAGGGAAAATGTTCTATTTAATTGTGTCATCTCTAGGGTACATTTGGATTGATAAACAACC